TCTACAACTACCTGAAAGGAGGGCATAGCAAGGTGGGGGCAGTCTCTTCTCTCAAGTAACAAGGGGTAGGACAAGAGGAAATGGCCTCAGGTTGTGCCAGGGGAAGTTTAGATTGGATATTAGGAAGAATTTCTTCCCCAAAAGGGTTGTCAGGCATTGGAACAGGCTGCTAGGAAAGTGGTAGAGTCACCATCCCTGGAGCTATTTAAAAGGTGTGTAGATGTGGCACTTAGGGACATGGTTTAGTGGTGGACTTGGCAGTGCTAAGTTAACAGTTGGACTCGATGATCTTAAAGGTCCTTTCCAACCTAAATGATTCTATGATTCTATTCTATGAGTAAGTGGAGAAATAGCTTCACATTATGCCTAATATTTATAAAAAAAAATGTGACTTTGGTCCCAAATCATCACTGGCTAATGGGCAAAAGTTCTGAGTTTGAAAGTTCTGAAAATCCTGTTTTCCTCTGTCTGTCATCTGGACAGTACGAGTCATGGTTTCCAGTAGCCATATGCAAAATCTGGTGTTGTCTTACGCTATGCATTGTATTTAAGGTGTGTTGGAGACAACTGCTTTGGTAGTAAGTGTAGCTTAAATCTCCACGGGGTGGCAGGAGGGAGGGGGAAGATGTTTGCTTCAAGGCAATCTGGATTTCAAGACAAGTTCGATCTTGGCATGAAGCCATGCTCCAAGTATTGGTTCTCTAGCTTTGCTGATTTCCTAAGGAGTTCTTCTAAACTTCCTGCCTTTTGCTTTATACTCTTCCTTAGAATATGACAGCAACAGCATAGCAGACTGAGTATGTAAATAAAGCATTTAATATTACCAGGAAGCAAAGGGATTCAAGGACCCCAAGGATTCCCAGGACTCCCAGGAACACAAGGCCCAATGGGAATCTCTGGTGTAAAAGGTGAAGAAGGAAAAATGGGTCCACCTGGGCCTAATGGAGAATGTGGGGATCTGGGAATAAAAGGTTTGTAAAAAACGTTTCATTCTGTAGTTATGTTACTGCTATGTTTAGTTTTGTTAGGACTATGTTAGGAATATATTTACTTTTTCTTCTTTTCATGAGGGTATATTCACTTCTGTTTTCAGAGATACTAAATACTAAATCCAGTTTTCTCACTTATGAATGCATAATGAAAAATAACTAAAGAAAAATTAATTCCACTCAGATCAATAGGTGCATTTACCACTAAATCAAACAGTAAGATCACTTTTTCAAACAAGCCTTGAATTTTGCCATGTACACATCTGAAACTTTAGATTTTCCAAGTTTTCTATCATATTGTCTGTGTTTTTCAATCTATGTAAAACATACAGGAAATAATCTCTCTAAATATTAATATAGGAGAGAGAATAACCATCTCCAAGGTGCAATCACAGACAGTACACTGTGGAGTGGACAATATGATTGCCATCTTTCAATATTCCAGACAAACAGGGAACAATTCTGATTTAACATCACCTGGATTACTACTGAATTAACTAAAAAGATAATAAATTCTGTTAGCAGTGAGCCTGCTGAAACAACTGTGAACTGCAATAGTATTTGAAGGCTTTTTGCATTATGGAAGTCTTCACTAAAATTAATTTTTGGACATGTCACTCATGAGGATTTACTTACATTCCATATGTTTGGTTCAAAGGTGAAAGAGGGCCTCCAGGAGACAGCGGCTGCATTAACATGCGTCTTGAGAAAGGACAAAAGGGGGAACCAGGGTTTCCTGGTGAGAATGGATTTAGAGGTGAAAGAGGTAAGTTCATAAAATAAAGCCCTGCGTACACACACATGAATCTGATACAAATCACTGGTGTTTTTCCCAGGTTTGGACTTGTAGCTGTAGTAACATCCAGCAACCTTATTATGTTTATAGAATCTTAAACTAGCAGGCTAGTTTCTTTGGACAATTACTAAGGCAATACACAACGTGTGAAAGCATAGCCATATTCAAAATACACATGAAACAATGGCTTGACTATATTGGTCATTGTCTTGTTCTGCAATTAACTTCAGGTGAAAAAGGCAATACTGGTTTCAGAGGCACCTCAGGATTTCCAGGGAAGAATGGTGTCCCAGGACTGCCAGGTGACCATGGTGACACTGGACTGATGGGGTTTCCAGGATCACAGGGTTTCCCAGGACCAAAGGGCTTTAAAGGAATTACAGGTTTTCAAGGACAACCAGGTGACCAGGTAAACAAAGTGGTAGTGAAGTGTCCTGGACTTTGCAGTTCTCTCCTGCCTCCAAGAAATATGATGAAGGGTACTTCTATTGTACTTTGTCATGAGATGTTCCTCCTGAGAAGAGACTGTCAGTATAATAGGAAAGATAAATTCCTGAATGCAACACTTAAGTGCTTTGATTATACTTTAGCAGGAACTGTAGTCAGTCAACAAAAGGCGCCTCTCCTAGCTGCACATTGTGATTTTGTTGTATTGACAGTTGGTGGAAGTCCAGGCTACACTGCACTAATTGAGGGGGGGGTGTGCAAAAAATGGATGTGTGATCAAGTCTTTAACGTTATTCCTAAGAACAGACTGACAAATCACTTACTGCAGAGATCATAACGTAGCAGCAGCACAAGCATGAAATTAATATGTAGCTGCTAATTTGTATCTTGCTATGTGGAGCAGCCAAGCCAATAGACAAGACAAACCAAGTCTTCTGTGTCGAGACCAACAACTTGCACCAAACAGAACCCAGGCAAGCAATATTGCTCAAAAACAAGTATACAAAACTGCACATATATCACATATGGATATAAGGTAAAATTCTTCAATAACTTGTATGCTAGGTAGGCAGGCAGTGAGATTACATGAAGCATAAAGCACAGGTTTTTTTTAGTAAAGGGACATATCTTTGCTTGGCTTGTCTTTTATTATATTTCTTTGCAGAGGTAATGTGTGTTTTGCTGATTATAGGAAATTATTCAAAAAGGAAAACTAGAGAAATCTTTACATTGTTACATCACGACACATATTGCTGGTTAATGTTTATAGTAAATTTTGGGTAACATACAACCATATTTGGTACATTTTTACGGTACCTTTTAAATCAAATTACTCAAGCCATCTGTGGGGAACTGAAGCTGTTCAAGCCAAGCGTTAGCATAAACTAAAAAAGCACAAATTCAAAATGATTAGCAAGTCCTATCTACAGTTTCTTGGAAGCATTGGTGGTCAGTGTTAGACATGTAACAAAGACTCTATGCTTTTCTGTTGAGCTTAAGATACAGTTATGCTATTCATATTGATTGCTGGTTCATTTACCAGTGTAAGAGATCCAAATATTCTTATAGATCATTCCTAAAGTCACACATTTTTATTTTGTTTTTAAAAAAATCAGGGTGACGTTGGCTTACCAGGAATCCCTGGAAGTCCAGGGCTGACTGGCCCAAAAGGATCTAAAGGTAATGAGTTTATATAGACATGCTTTTAAAAAGAGTGATATTGTTGGGATGTATATGCTCTGATACATGGCGAGTACTCACTAGAAAAGGGAAAACAGGACAGAAGTGAAAATAATTAAAACATGAACGTCATTAGAAACAGGTCTGACTTACCTGAAGGCAAAAGCTGCATTTCAGTATATTCTTTAACAGTTTGTTCCTTTTAAAGTAGGTGTTACAATTTAGAAGATAAACTTGTGTCAAATTTCATAGTTTCAAAATTCCAAACACATGTAAAAAGCCACTTTTATGGACCTGCAAACTCTGTCAAATCAAATAAGAGAAAATGCAATCATTTAGGTATTATGGTACGGTATTATACAGATATGTAGAATTTTTTAAATATTCCAACATATTTATAATTTCTTTTACATCTCTTATTTTCCAGTGATTTCCAGGCTATGATCTTTGAATTCTTGAAACTTCTGAAAGTGTAGCATAACAAATCAGGCAGTGTTCATACCCATGCATGCAAAATTATTCAGTTGAAAAGATGAAGTTTTGCACATTGCTTTTGCATAGGTAGAGATTACTCTGAAAAATTTATCTGTAATATTTAGATTTTTTAAAAGCATTTCAAAGAAATACAAAATGGTGTCATCCATCATATTCCAAATTTCCTTGGAGCAGGATTTCATTACTATTAAATAATGGAATTAAATCAATGCCTGGAAAAAAAAGCATTAAGGGGACAGGAGAAATTATTTTCTTAGTTACATTTTCCATTTCTTAAAAATTCAAGACCTTCTCAGCCAGTGAATATACTCCCACAAAAAAAAAAGTAAAGAACAATACTCAATATAAAGAGAACTTTTATGAAATGTATTGAAAACAAAGTTATTGGAAAAGTTATCCTTAAAAGTAAAGCAGGAAATAATCAGTAAAGGCGCGGATTGCTATGGCAGGGGATTTCTAGCAACACTTGAACTTGATATTTCCTCTTAAATTCTCACAGCAAAATCAGGCAACGAAGCTGGAGACAGCATTAATAGGTAGGAGAGGTCAGACATTTGTACAGACAATGTAAAGCAAAATTGCTCAGAATTATCGATTCTGTGATAGAGAGGAATTTCAGCACAAACAGAAGAAAAGTGTGCTGGCTTAAAGTCCCCAGCTAGTCCCTAAAAAGCCTTTACCGAGTAGACTCACACTGTATTGATTTTGCACATCCTCACAAACCTATGTAAGGAGTTCTCTTTGTTTAATAAACCGTTATGGGGAATTTATGCAATATCTTTCATTTTCAGTATATGCTGTCAGTATTGGGAAAGTCCCCATAATTTTGCGGTTTGATTTTGGGTTTGTTTTTTTTTTTCATTATTGGAAATTTACATGAATACTGCCAGGAGTCATACTAAACACAAACTGAGTTAGTACTTGAAGACAAGCTGAGTTGGCAGATAATTTGCATATGCCAAAGCATTTTTCATTCTGTGTTGTCTTAGTCCCTTTTATAGCTGTTAATATCTATGAATAAATTACCTGATCTTACAAAATTGTCCAGATTTGGTTTTGTGGATGTAAAGGATATTTGTATGAAATGAAAGTCATTGTACCTCAACAGGCAAGAGAGGTGACCCAACTCCTCTGCTTGGCACACATGGTCGAAAAGGACCTCCCGGAGATCCAGGATTACCAGGTACCTCTTGTCTGATTGAAGAAAAAATTGGACTTAAGAACTTATTTTCTCTACGTTTTGTTAGCGGAGAGGGAGCTCTGCTTCCTGTGCATATTGAGTGGTATTCTTTATAGTTATAAACCCAAGGATTGGAAAGGCATCACAATGTGCAATATAGCTAGCATGAACATTGGAGGTAGAGTCTACTGTTGTCTAGTACAGCATTGATGAACATACCAATACTTGCCAGAATAAAACCTGGCTTGGCTATATCTTGCTAGCCATTTGCACTCTTTCAGATATCACTGGAGAGATCAGTATAATTCATTGCTAATAAATAGATGCAAGGATCTGAAGTATTTGAATAAAATTATTTTTCTAGTCAAGAAACCCCTTACTGAACTTTTATATTGTTAAACTTACCATGAGATGAAGAATGGGCAACTTTAAACAAATGAATGCTAGATTTTATTTTTTTTTTTTTCTTTAAGGACTCTGTGGATTCCCAGGAGAAAAGGGTTCACCAGGTATCCAAGGGCAACCTGGAAGACCGGGATCTAAGGGTGACCCTGGGTACCCAGGAATACCTGGATTTCCAGGTAATGCCAAAATTTAAAAAATAGTACCATGTAACAGCTCAAAAGAGATATGGAACAGGAAAAAGTGCAGCTGAGGAGGCACCTCTGTGGAAAAGGCTAGAGAAATCAGAGATCATATGAAGGCGTGTATTGAAAGCTATTTCAGTACCTATAGATAGCAGCAGTAGTCTGCTCAGAGTCTCAGAGAGCAAGATCTATCAGTTCTTCATACATTCCCATACAGTTTCAGGTATCTCTGATTAACGCATAGCATAAAAAAAAAAAATCAACAGCTTAATAGATGTGCATATTCACAGATTTGTTTTGGGTTTTTTTCCATGCTCAGGAGCTACAGGTCCTCAGGGATTACCAGGAGAACCTGGAGAAGAAGGGAAACATGGAATTTTGGGGCCTCCAGGATTACAAGGATTAGCTGGATCCCAAGGCAGAAAAGGTAAACAGTATACAGTGCAGATCTACTGGTAATGTAACAGCACCAGACATGAATACTCTTTTAGTAGTGAAAATGGAAAAAGCCTAACTGTGACCATGATTTTGATTCTGTATTCTCAAACTACTAGAAGAATTAAGCCAGTTCCCATCACCTTTGAAAAGTAACATAAATGCTGCCTCAGAAATTGGGCTACAATCTAAAATGAGTAAGGAAGAAGGCAGAAACAGATTCTGGCTCAGCTGATGTAACTGATAGCAGAAGTTAAGAAAAGAAAAAGGAGTTTGCAGTAATTCAGATGTTTCACTTCCATTATGCTGTGTTCTACCTTTTCACCATGGAGTGACACTGTTACCCTACAAAACCATCAGACTACTATGGACAGTTTTGTCTTACAAATTTGTTTTCACAAATTGTGGTAAGATAACTTGTGTTGGGTTTTGTTGTTGGTTTTGTTGTCTCCAAAACCGGATTTTTGGTGGATTTAACGTAGAAATGTTTCCTCCAAATCCTAATTTACACTGCTCACAGTGATTGTTATGTTTAGATTGAAGAGCAGTTCATCTATACAGTTGTTTTTGTTGGAGAACTTTTACTATACTCAGAATGATATATTGAAATTATAATTTACATTAATACTTCATAAAGAAGGGTAATCAACTATGTAGTTTGTATCCTCTCTCTGTTACAGTGTGCTTCATAACCAGTTCCTGGACAGGAAGAATAATATTAGTGACCTTTATACAGAAATCACAGTAAAGTAACACTTGGGGCTATGATAAATGGTTAGAGAGGACAATAAATTCACTTTTTCAAATTCAGCTTAAGGAAAAATTGAGAAGGTTTCTTATAAACTACTGAAAACTTAAATGAAAAATGGAAACCATTTATGATTGCTTGCAGTAAATAAGCGGTACTGATTTAAACTATCATGACAGATTCCTTGCTGGTGCATAGTCTGCAAGAGAACATTTCATTGTTGCAAACAGTATTTGTTGTAACAAAGGCAGAGATCTGCAGTGACAGAGATGTCTAAATTGAGAGGGGTCAAAAAAAAACCCACAGCAGTCTTCTGCTGAAAATTTAGTAGCAGATGGAGTCTTTCCTTCTTGTCATAAGTAGTAAGATACTTCTTCTCTATATTGTGCAGAAGTTATCCCAAGTCCTGCACAGGAAATGTTACAAATAAACACACGTGCTGCAGAGGGAAAAGTTTGGTTCCAAATGGCAATTCATTAGAGACCAAGTTGCCTGCTAAGACAGGATTCTGTGTATTGCCAGCACAGTTAAAAAGAAGGTTAACACCTTTGAAATTATACCCAGTAATGAAAACTGAATGGAATTTGTATTCCAATTCAATTGGAGAATACAGAACTTAATGCTATTTTCAATAAATATTGTTGCTAGCATTAGAAGTGAATGGTTAATTGGCTGTTCATAGCTAAATACACAGCCTTGTTAGTCTAATTGCTACTCATTTACATTAAATGTCTTGTGCCTGAGAAACTTTTAGATTAAAAAAATAATAATTAAACAGCATCTACCAAAGTATAATCACATTTTCTTTATTACGGAGATAGTTTTACTAGTTAAGGGCTTAGTCTGGCAAGCCTTACTTGTGTGAGTAATCCTTGATGAGGCAAGTAGTACTAAGAACATCAGCAAAATTACTTGTGTGAGTAGAAGCTGAATTGGGCTGTAAAATATAGAAACAGTGGTTCATACACAGGTCAGCCAATTCAGCTGTACCTAGAAATATGGGCCTATAGCAATCCAAAAATCTAGAATTACAAGTGCTGATATTATAATAGATTGTTGGCAAATGTGTCAGAAATTCCCTGGAAAGCAAGTAAACCCAGCCATCAATCTTGACTGAACGAGCTAAAGATCAAAAAGGTTTTAAATGTTGACCTGGGTGCCAAAGATAGTTAGGAGTTCATAATCATTTTAAAATACTACTGCTAAATTCCCCAAATTGGCATGCAACTCTTACATTAATTTGAAAATGGGAACATGCCCAAAGCACAAGCAGGCTACAGAAAGCAGGACTGAAATTTAGAATATCATGAAAAGTTAAAGAGCAGTTAATTAAGGGCACAGAAGATATTACAGGTTGGATTACTAGTATCCCATATTGTAAAAGCGATTACATAGAGAGTATATTATCAGTGTCTTGCAGATTTTCAAACTATCTTCTAGATTTAATTTTTTTCCAGACCTACATTTGCTGCAGGCTGGCTCCACCCCCCCGCCTCACTCCCCCTTTCTTTTCATTCCTTTGTTAAATTTTAACTAAAATAATTCAACAGTTTCTGAAAACAAAGCTATGGGATTATTATTTTTGGTGTGTCTGTTAAGACAACTCTAGTGCCCTTTGATTTTTCGTTTCTCAGATGACCCATCTTTGAACTAGGTACCTTTAAATTTGGCAGGTGAAGCAGTTGATGAAGGGCATTTGTGTTGCTGTTCCTACAGCAATTTGTCCCTGCCAAATTTGACCAGCTTTAACTTTAAAAAAATATATCCATTCATATGTGCTTAAGTAGAGCAATAAATTCTCCCATGATTCATGCTCTGGATGTACAGCAGATTTGTGTGCTGCAGGACATGCTGGGATCAAGCACAGGAACTGAAACAGAACCTGCATCTTCTATGCCAGCAAGAGCTAGGCAGGGAAAAGGAAACAGACAGAAAGATAATTCAGACTTGTCAGAAAAAAAAAAAAGCCCACTGCAGCTGGACTGGGGATGCTACACGGCAGGGACAGGAACTGGCGGGGAAGGAAATTAGGCAGAGATAAGCAGCAAAGGTGGAAAAGAGACTGGAATAGGCACTGACAGTATTGTTCAACTTCTTGATGATGTCTACTCTTATCTGGCCGTCTCTGGAGCAAGAAGCATCTCAAGTCTATTCCTCCGTCTGAAACCTCTTTGAAACCTATTACCAAATGACCCATCAGTTTTGCCAAATCTGTTCCTATCACCAGGTGATAGGCTGGCGTCTGCATTTAATAAGCATACATCTTCACACTTGATACTTTATCTATACAACTTAGGAAACTATAAAGTGCAAATGACATGGAGATATTTTTACTCTCCACCGCAAACAACAAACACAATCTCAGATTAGTTCAACTTTTTAAAAATGGATTAAAAAATGCCGTCTATGTTTTTAGTTACTGTGTTTTAGCAATTTTCAAAAAAGCACAGATTATAAAGCAAAAGACTACTATGAACACTCACCCTGTGATCTGGTCATCTAGTGAACATCACTAGTGGCAAAGCTGCTCCATACTATCACATGTCAGCATAGGTCTCAATTACAGGTTTGTTGTCTTCAAACACTTTGTGCTGTTCAGTTTAAAGAATTTTTGTAATACTGTGATGCAAAAAAGCATAGTTTTCTGTGTGAAATCTGCAGGACCAGGGAAAAAAAGCCAGGTGAAAATGTTGCTTCTTTCTAGTGCAGCTAGATTAAATTGCACTTACATTTGGAACAGAAACTGTAAAGAATTTCCAGCTTTACAGTTATTTTAGGTAGTGTCTACATCCCAGTCGCCTAGTCATGTAGTTGTAACACAGCTAACTTTGGTGTAGTTAATAACATAGCAGTAGTAGTCCAGCCACAGACACAAGGTTCACTATAGAGTAAATTAGCCCATACTGAGCTTCCTGCTGCTAGCTGCAGTATAGAAATACCGAAAGTATTAAAAGGTGTGTTTTCTGATTACTTTGATGTGAGATTGTATTATGATTGCTATTTTCAGATTTTTCACATTTTCCTTTCCAAAAAGGCTGCACTCAGGTGCAATGTGATCCCGTCTTCAGTTGCCAATAAGAATCAAATTCAGCAAATACCCTGCCTGGATCCAGAATGTGTTGTTAGAAAAAAAAAAAAAAAGGCATAATTTTTAATTGCGACCTTAAAGGATTATTGTGGCATCACTCAGTCATGCCTGTAATACCTCTCAGGTCTTCCTGGACTGCCCGGACTGGATGGCTTGGATGGACTAAAAGGCCAAAAAGGTTCTGCAGGAGCACCAGGTAAAGAAGGGAAATAGCTATGTGGGACAGAAAATCTTCTCTTAAATGACTGAATGTGCAAGGAATGATGCACATTATTTTGATATTTGCCTTGCCCAGAAGATATCATTGAGGCTCAGGCTAAACTTTCAAACAGATTCTAAAGTATGCCTAACACACCTGCAGTTATTTGTAGGGAAAAAAAACTTCCATTACTTGTATAATTTTGTTGGAACCTTTCAAGGCTGTTTATATAATGAGAATGTTCAGTGCAGATGATTCAAAGGAGAGCCAAGTCTCTAGGAAAAGATAAAACTAACAAATTAAAAGGAGACTTACGAAATCCCAGCCCCATTAAAGTCCATGGGAGTTGTGCCACAAACTTAAGAGGAACCTGGATTTCACTCACACTGATCTATTTGCAACTTTCAAAACGTGCTTTTGAAGCAGTATTAAAAAAACATGCTCACCATCTATCTAGAGATTACAAATTTATGCTGATAGAAAATTAAATTTAGGACCATGCAATCAGTTTACATTTCAAATTACAGACAATAATGGCACTATATAAAATAAGCCCTGAAGAGCATTAAAGCAAAGAGATTACTTTCTTTGAAAGAGATGAATTAGGGCCAGATTCAACAAAACTCTATCCAGCTTCCAAGAGAGAACCAGAAAAATAGCACTAGGCAACCCTTGCAAGGAGGAACATCTGCAGCTGGTATTTCTATTCTGCACATCTGTATTTGTACTCACTGTAAGCATTATGTACATAATTGTTTTCCTATAAAGGTCAAAGTGAAACAGGGCCCCCAGGATACTCAGGAGAACTTGGACCAAAAGGAGACAGAGGTGAACCTGGATGGCCTGGTATTTCTATTCCAGGCCCCCCTGGAGAAAGGGGTTTCCCAGGATTTCCAGGTAAGAAAGGGTTTTCTCCTTAGTGGTGCCCTGCAGAGTCAAAATGAAGCTCATACAGGCTGTTCCCCTGGTTAGTATGAACAATTATACATACCCAGAAGATTCCCTCCGTAAAAGCATTTCTGTTGCAATAACATGCTGATGTTTCCTGAGTAGATGAGAGATCCCAGTATTTCTTATTTATTTTGTTACAGGAGAGGAAAGAATGAGAATAGAAAATGATGGACTTGAATAGGCTCAGGGAACTGCTAGGTGGAGTTGACTCTTGGGAAGAAATTCCTGAAGAAAAAGAGTGCAGGAGATCTGGTAGTCACAAAAATATAGTAAATCTTATCTCTTGTTCTGATGTAAATGCAAGGTGGAACTGTATCGCAAGATTGCTATGATTATTTAAGAGCCTTGGTGATATAGGAATCGCATAGAAATAGGAAAAAGCAAGTGTTTGAGGAAGGGCGACTAAGAAGTTTAAGAGATTGGAGCATCTATCATACAAGGAGAGGCTGAGGGAGTGGGAACCGCTTAGCCTCTAGAAGAGAAGGCTCAGGGGGGATTTTGTCAATGTGTATGAGTACCTGATGGGAAGAACATGGAGACAGATTCTTCATAGATTCTTCCAAGTGACAGGACAAGAGGCAATGGGGACAAACTGATATACAGGAAATTCTACTTAAATGAAAGGAAAAGTTTTGTTTTTCCTGTGAGAGTAATTGAATATGAGAACAGGTTGCCCAGAGAAGTTATGAAGTGTCTTTCCTTGGTGATGACTCAAAACCCAGTTGGAGAGAGTCCTAGGCAACCTGCCTTAGCTGACCCTGCTTTGAGGAGAGAGTTGGACTAGAAAGTCATCAGAGGCCCATTCAAGCCTCAGCAATTCAGTGATTAGAAGTGACATGAGCTTTACTCTACCAAACCTTGCCACAGTGTCACATAACACACAGAAGACAAATAGTGGAGGTGAATTCTGTTGAGGTGAATTATTCTAAGATGAAGACAGTAATTTTTCTCAATTAAGTTACTAGTTTGTGAACTGAGGAAGTCAACAGAATGGAGCTGTTGAGGAAAAAAGAGAAAAAGTTTCATTCTAAGATGTATTAACACTGTTTGACATAGGATGGGCAAGGCCTCCCATGGTATACTGTGTCCACCTTTGACAAATTAGGGAGAACTCACTAGAGAATAAATGGAAGGATGGGGTCCAAAAACAAGACTGAAGAAACTAGATTTGGGTTTTTGTAGAAAAGAGAAGGCAGAGTTCAACACGTGTGCTAACAAGCTGCAGCTATTCAAAAGCGTTATGCAGGGGATGGTAACCTGTAACTCTTCCTGCCTGTCACATCTAAGGGCATTAATGTCTTCTTTTCCAAAAACCCAGATAACAAATTAGGAAAAAAGGACATTTAAGGCTAGTAGGTTCATCTTGTTCACTGAGGTTTTTAGGAAACTGCTGAACTCACTTGTGCTAGGAACAATCTGTGAATACTTATCCTGTCCCAGGCAGAATGATTTCATAGTCCCCACTTGTCTTACATTTTTACCATTTCTCCCATTGTTAGAATTCAGGAGAAGGCGACTATTTGTGGCAATATGCCAATGCGTGATGATGCATTGTTAGTTTAAGTAGATTTTATGGAAAGAATTAAAAAAATCAGACAACAAATATTTTCACTTCTGCAAGATGTCTTCATTAGCCTAATCACTGGTATGTTCAGTATACAAGTGAGAACATACATTTCCTCCCTGACTTCACATGTCAGCACTCTTTCAGTTAGTAACTTATTTCTGTAATCTAAAAAAAAACACGCAATTTTTTTTTTCGTAAAATGTGATCCCTTAGGTAGAAGAGGACCTGTTGGATCCACTGGACCTATGGGAAGATCTCCTGATAGTGCTTCTCCTGGTCCTCCCGGTGATCAAGGACCACCTGGTTTAGATGGCATCAGAGGTATTAGAACCAAAAATACCAAGTTTGATCATGTAAAAAGCCCCTTATGCTACTAGGAGTCACTGGGTTGCTGTCTATGGAACAACGTATAAAAGTGCATAGGGAACAAAGAAATCAATCAATACCTCAGTGAATGCGCAGGGAAGTGAGCACTGGATAGATCATCAGAGCAAGGATAAAATACAACTCTCTGGATTCTGGTTTTTGGCCTGTATGGTAATTCTCTACACGTCCTGCTGCTACAACATATCTCAGTTTACCCAGAAGCAGACAGAAATAAGATTACTGGCCTCTCTTCCTGGCAAGAGGGATAAAACACATTGTCCAGAAGCCTGCCATTGTTGGTAAACCCACAAAAAGCTTTCCAGTCTAAATCCAGCTCTGGGAAAGCACAAGCTGGCAACTCTTTTGTAAGCATTTATGTAGACCTCACTTCTGTTACAAGCAGGGGTTGCCAAGGGATCCAGTCAATTCCTATAGATCCTGGTCCTCAAATGGAGCTCTTTCGAGTTGTTCTGACCTCCTACATTAAGTATTATCCGAACCCTTCCTTACCCAGTACAAAGACTTACTTCCTATTGGGAAACAGGGGATGGAGATTGGATGGGTGAGAAACACTGTAATAAATACAGAGAAACAGTGCTTCAATGCACCTAACACTAACTTGCCATTTGCTTGCACAGAATCTACATAGTTTTGGGAGCTATTCCTATTACTGTCTTCCTTACAATGCCTTGGACAAAGGCATTGTAATATTATTGTAATAATAAGGCTAATATTTCCAAAAACACACAAGGGCTGTCCTTCATCCCAGGGAAAGAACCCAAAAGCAAAAGAAACAATGGAACATGGCTATTTTTAGATGTTTATGTTTCATGCATATATTGAGAATAAAGTTCTTTTACCATAGGTCAGCCTGGGAATCTTGGTCCTCCTGGAGAGACTATCTTTGTGCGAGGAGATCCAGGTGATATTGGCATTCGAGGGGCACCAGGTAATCCTGGGCAGCGAGGGCAACAAGGAGCCAGAGGTCTTCCAGGGAACCAAGGAAGAGGAGGCCCAAAGGGTATGATCGGAGATGTTTTTAACTAGCATGTGCACTTATGCCCAGCCCTATGCAGCAGAGCCTTGTGCACAGGGAATTGCCATTGGAGACTGAGCCAGACAGAAGGGGTAGGTTGGACATTTCATAGCTCTGCCCTGTTACCTACAGATAAGATAGGGCTGGGGTAGAAGGTCAGAAGAGAGCCAGATTCACCTGGACTGCTTCTAACAAGTTGGAAGACTCCCCATACCAACCTGAGAACGAGGCAGTAAAACTTTTGAGTCTGCCAGATAAAGCAAACCTTGACCTCTCTGCAGGGATCTTGAGAAACTATGGAAGATGCAGATGTGTTTGAACTAACACAGAGTCTCGCTCACATCTGCCCCATATCAATAGCTCTGAGCTTTCAACAGATTCTTTGGTTTGAAAACGGGGATCTAGATACTCTGCTTCTTCCATGCACTGTAGAGAAGTCCTATCTACACCAATCCCTTCCAATCTCTACAAAAAGAAGAGTCATAAATTTTAATTTGGTTCGAGACCAGGGAGAGAAGAGGAAAATGTGCATTTCCTTCTGGCAGACAACAGAGCTGAGCTATCCCAAGCAGTTTTTGTTACTCAAGCAGCCAGACTTCATCTTATTTATGTGTTCAGCTTCTCGGAATGCAACCACATGTAACGGTACAACTGTTTTCTTTCCAGGTCCTATGGGAATCCATGGCCCACAGGGTCCACCTGGTGCTATAGGACAACCAGGAGACCGAGGTTTTCGAGGAAAACCTGGTCCCAGAGGTCCCACAGGTACTTATGAACTTGTTTCTCATTGTCACTCAATTGTAACCATGATCTTTCTATTCATATATAATCTTACTAACATTTACTTCCATACAGACAATTTAAACAATTGTAGAAAAAACACCCCAACTTAATTGATTTCTCATTTGAGTTCTGTAAAAATTTCTGAACTATAATTTGTTTCTAATGTCACCTCATGTAAGTGAGTTCTCATTCCATTCTTTACTCTAATTTACATGCCTGAAACTTGTTTCCACCTGCACCACAATGGCTGCAATCTGCTTTCCGTTTTTCAAATCCTTCAGGTTTCATAGGTAAGTTTGTGACTATTGATTATTGTTCTTTTCATGTGGGCTTCCTTCTGTATAGATACATTCCACTCTTATTAGAAGGTATTCTTGGCTTGGCTGCTAGGAATAGTAGGTACTGCTACGACAACATAGTTCTAATAGATTTCTCACATAAATAGCTAGCACTTCCAAGTAGACCAATACCATGATAGTGCTACTTTGAAAAGTCTCGTGCTATGATGTCAGTTAGACTTGTAAAAGGCACTTGTTTCAAATTACCATTTTGGTTTTTGATTGTCACACAAGATGCTTTCTAACCAAAAAGAGCAAAAGCTTGAATCCGAACACTGGATTACTACAAACACTGAACTCTTAATCTGATTAAATTGATCTGATTCTGATTTTGTTCCAAAATGCAAACAGCCAATAGCTCCCAGTAACTTTCAATACATACAATGTGTCCATTCTCTATTTTTTATTATAATTATTTTAAAAGGATGTTGTGGGTTAGCTTCTTTGGCCTGCTTATTGATGGTTTTGCAGCCACAGAGTAGGCAAAGTACTGTAGATCTTCACATGTGCTAAGGTATTTGCGCTGAAGTTGGGTAGACTTTAGGCTTTAACTCAAATCAGTTTGGGGCACATTAAGACGAAACTGTACACCAAATATTTGAAACATATCAGCTAGCATACACTTGCTACCACACGCTTCCCATGCTGTGCTAAAAGACTAAGAGTAAAGTTAAAAGCAGTGAGACTCAATAAGTCAAGATTTTGAAATACTTAAAAGTATACACTTGAATACAAAAACCAGCTAACAGTTATGTTGATTTTTCACGTAGAAGCTATTAACCAATCTTCTAATTTACTTTCCTATTACATATTCCAGGTGACCCTGGTGAACCAGGAAAAATAGATGATTCATGCCCTGCAATCCCAGGGCCTCCTGGGGAAGCAGGGCAAAGAGGAGATGATGGCTCTGTAGGATTACCAGGGCCAATAGGCCACCCTGGACCCCAAGGTAAGCTTGTGTTTTGAAAGCTTGGATGTGTATTTTAGCCATTTAGACAACAAATTGAAAAAGGTCAGAGTGTCAGTGACACTTCTCTATGTTTTACTCCATCTCTTCCCCTTAAACACTTATTAACAGTCTCCAGAAACTTGTAGTGGGCTGGTGAATGCTGAGGATGATGGATCAATATAGCTGAACCAGGCTGCTTGAGCCTGCCTGCACCACATTCCCTTTGCTTAGGCCAGGGAAGGCAAAAGCATCAGGCACTGTTGAGAAAAGAGTTCTTTGAATGTTATTTTTCCTTTTTACCAACAAATGAAAAAGCAATGCCTCAAACCACTTCTATGGTTTAGTCAGGTTATATTTGGAGGATGTTAAAAATATACACGCTTTAAAATTTAGCAATAATGAATCACACAGTTCTGCTAACCAAAGTCCTAAAAGGACACTGAAGTCAGAGAGGCAGCTACGATAGCACTTTTTATCTGTTAGAACATGAAAAGGTTACCACAAAAGAAAACTGACCAGAAAGATCTTAAAAAGAAGTGATGAAAGACTGAAACATTCTTCTGAGAGATAAAAAGAAGACAAGGGTGATGCTGGTACTGATGATTCCAACAGAGTGGCCATCTTCATGGAAACATAGCAGAGCATGTCTTTGTAGCGTCTTCAGTTTAGGTTGTGTCTAAATGTGGTGTCTTCAGTTTAGATAGTGGAATCCCTCTAGGTTCTAGAGGGATCCCTCTAGGTTCTAGGTATTTCCTACTTGGGAAACCAAAGTTTGTTGTTGTGGCTGCACTGGACATCCAATGTCTTCAGAGAGAAAATCCATGATTTTCTCCCAGGAGATTCCCTGCAGTAGTCATTGCCCTCATGAAACTGAACACAAGGCAATTTTCAGTGAACTATCTAATTTTACATATCTTAATTGATTTGCCAACTAAAAGGTGTTTCTGGAGCTGAATTGCTGTGTTTCTATTATACACATCATTACAACAGTTTCTGTAAAACCAGATGATACGATGATACATACTTACACTGGTTCTATGAAAGAAACACTTTGTAACGCTTTTCCTTTCATTAAGATAGCAGAATTCCAACTTCCTCCTGGCTTGGAAGGCAAACTGGATGTTTTACTGGCAAAAGCAACACATTACTAAAACTTCAGTGTACTTGAGTTTTGGCAAAATAACTATGCAACCAACATGGAAAGGCTGTTAAATAGTTTTGACTGGTTTAGATTTTCTTAATGAATCTAGTAAAAAGTAACATGGGGAAATTTTGAATGCTGTGAGACAACCTTGAATTACTCAGTCTGCAGGTTAAAGAGCAAAATTTGCAAGGAATGAAACATCATTAATGAGAAACAACTGTGGTGCTAGAGAAACATACTCACCTGAAAACTTTTTACCAAAAGAGGAGAAACACTGCTGAGTACAATAATACCTGACAAACATAACTTTGTTCAATTCAGATTATGTTTAAAGTAGCCAGTGAACAGGACCATCACTATCTGTGCCCTGCAGGTGAGATGTATCTTTTACTGTCATGGCCACACCTCCTTATCTGCTAAAGTATAAAAATGCATGTACGTATGAGAAATATAAAAAGATGAGGCCATCAGAAGCCTAAAAGTGTCTTTACCCTTCCCCACTGGATGTAGTCTAATTCTGCATTCCCTCCCTCTTCTGTAAGTACTCTAACACATGCATTATTTCACAGAAAGTTCAGTACATCTTTAAAGACTTTGCTGAATTGGGTCCTAAAAGATGAAGGCCTGCCATAGGATGAGTTACAACCCCTTATACGGTACAGATACTGATGGCAATTCTGAAAGAGGCTTGTCATAACAATGTTTGTTAGTGCTTTGATTTCTACTGTAAATCACACAAATTCTGTAGAGAGGACATAAAAACCTTATCAGCAGTTGCTGTTACTGAAGTCATGCCTCTGAGCTACTACTGTGGTCACAAAGTGAATAAGTTGTAAAGAGAATTCCCAGCAGAAAGCAGTTCTGCACCTCTCTGTCCTGAAGCATCATTTCTTGGTAGTGTCAGTTCTGCTGACTGGCCCTTTGCATGCTGTGCATGTTTGGACAACATATAACCTTTAAATGCAGCCATATGAAGGGAAAGTGCACACTTTGTATTTATTTATAGGAAGAAAAGGTGAAGAAGGGTCATGTGGCCTGCCAGGTCAAGATGGCTTACCTGGAGCACCTGGACCACCAGGTGACCAAGGGACTATAGGAGAGCAAGGATACGCCGGGCCACAAGGTAAGAACGGAACACGACTTTGGGGGCAGAGATGGGTGAGATGACGTATAAACTAAGTTTTCTCTCTACTCCCCCAACTCACACATGGATACATCCACCTCTAGCCTAAGACACCATGACACTTCTTCCCCCCTCTCAGTTCAAGCACTGGTAGTGACACTTGTGAATGATTTTGTAACACATAAAAAGATCTATCAGAAGAAAATTTATCTCAGTATCCATTATTAACTAGAAAGGCAATTAACCACACATGCTTAAACACCATATATCAATAGATATGCATTTCTGAGTCAGGGCTAATGGTGCAACTGAGTAATTAAAATTGTATTTTAACTGTGACTGCTGTTTAATAAATTAATGTTTTAATACATATGTGAGGAGGGGGCATTGACTGTTACTGCAGGGATTCAAATTCAGTCCAGACAAGTCATCCTAGTGAGTAAGTCTGGGAAATCATTGCCCACCTCAGTTCATTTCTTAATCCATACAGCACAGGACAGAGGCACAATAGAAAAGCCAACTGTCAAGCATTCAGTGGCAATCTAGTTCATTTCTCTCCCATAAGAAGGATAACATGAGTCTATGGGTGTCTTTATTGCCCATGACAACCTCTGAAGTTGTATTCTATTCAGTCAAGCACCCCTTACTGAACACTTAAATATAGTAAGAATTCACAGTAGCTATTTGTTCATACAAGTAATTCTTTTACCTTTTCTCCTGCATATAAGGTCCACCTGGCCAGACTGGTATCCCGGGACCACCAGGCCCCCATATTAGATCTGCAAGTGGATTCTTGCTTGTCCTTCACAGTCAGTCAGACAGAGAACCACTCTGTCCACACGGGATGCCAAAATTATGGACTGGCTATAGTCTGTTGTACCTGGAAGGACAAGAGAAAGCTCATAATCAGGATCTTGGTATGTATTGTAGTAACTAATTGCTCCCCAGATAAGGTCTAATATGGTGTGATCTATACAGTGAAAGACAACTCAAATGGAGCACACTATAGAATCATCAAGTACTGATTTTCTACAGACTCAAAACTAATTTAACACTGATTATAATAAACTTGGTTATCCTGCTCTATTATGTGACCCATTTAAAATGGCTTTCTCATGCTATGCAGTTGAATGAAAAAAGTATTTCTACCTCTAAGTAATTTTGAATAGAAGTTGGAGAGATGAGTGGTTTATTTCACTTATCCTGGCTAGTCATTTTGGGCTGTCTTTGAACTCATTGGAGAGGATTTCCCTAGATCAGGAATCTCATTTGGCCACTCTGAAATAACTCCCTGGAAGATTTGCTCCTTTTTACTGTAGAGACAACTTGGGAAAAAGAGCTGGTTAAGTTAGGTGGTTACAGTTGGAAAGTATAAAAAAAGCTTTACGGATAAAATTATGCATCATGTACAGCAGAATTGTGTGCTTTTAAGAGTCAGAAGCTAATATTTTTTGGAAAAGACAGAGCCAAATTTCTCCCAAAGACAGCTCATTTTGGTGTCTTGGGTTATTTCTCCTACATCTTCTACAATTCTGACTAAAATTAGCTAAATGAGCCGCCTGACTTACAGCCTGAGAAACTGATTGGTGGCAATTTGCGCAGAAGAAATATCCTGAATTCTTGTTGACTTGTTATACAAGAGGCAGAGAATTCTCCTAGGAGGAAAGATCAAGGACCTAATAAGCTGGACAAAAAAAGAAGTGTTTAAAGAGCAATAAAAAGAGGTATTTTTAGTACAGCAGTGTTGTTTTGAAATGTTTTCACTATTGTGTGTTTGGCATGCCCCAGGAGAGCTAGCTGGTAACAGAATGCCTTATAACAGCAGTGAAAATAAGACTCAAAGAAAATAAAGTCCTTGTTCCCTGTGACCAGTGTGGTTTTTTTTGCAGGCCTTTTCCTTACTCAGGCTACTCCAGATCCTTTATTAGTACTGGAATGGAATATTATCAGTAAAAAAACTAAACTGGCTTCTGTATAGAAATGTCACTTCTTTAAAGAAGCCATTAGAGTTTTGGGGCATTACAGAAATAATACATCACACACAAAGTTCAAGGCAGAACAGATGTGCAGTGATTATTATTAACTTAATACATTTTCACAAAACTGTTCTAAATTCAGTTCTAGAAGAAGAACTTCACCTCTGAAGTATTATGCACTAGTCACCTCTTAATTCCCACTGATGTCTGCCTGATGAGAATTTTGGAGGATTGGCTCTGCAAAATCCCTCAGTCCTTTTATTTCACTTAGAGTCTGTGAAACCTTTCTGGAAGGCAGTAGAAGAGCTGGTGAGATTTCAGCTTCATGCACTGGTAGCAACGGCTTGTCATACTTTACAAAAATGTTCTATTTATCAGCATTGGCATTTGGTTTCTCACCGCTCCTAATGAGTTTGTAAATAGCTGATCTCCTTTTAAAGCAGCCGCCACCTCTTGCCTAATTTATTTTTCAGCGTTGGCACAGCTAAGAAATTTGTTATTGTACCTGTTTCCCATGGTGACATACTACATCACATTTAAATACTGGATTGTGACACAATTAAATATTATTGGTCAAAGGAAGACACTTACTGGTAAAAAAAAGTTTCCGTTTTCAATATAACCAGCTGTTTTGGTAAAGAGCCTAGGAGGTTTAAGATCTGTGCATTATGTAACTCCTGTTAAGATACATAGTTTTGCGGCAACATTGGCCAGAATACTGTTTTCGACTTACCTAGAAAGAAGTGGGGTAATTTTCATTATTTGTTACTATTTTCAGGTCTGGCAGGATCTTGTCTTCCTGTGTTTAACACTATGCCATTTGCTTACTGTAATATCAACCAAGTTTGTTACTATGCCAGTCGAAATGATAAGTCTTACTGGTTGTCAAGTGCTGCGCCTTTACCAATGACGCCACTCTCTGAAGAAGAAATACAACCCTATATAAGCAGATGTGCTGTATGTGAGGCCCCGGCCCAAGCAGTAGCAGTTCACAGCCAAGATCAGTCAATTCCTCCCTGCCCAGCGAACTGGAGAAGTCTTTGGATAGGATATTCTTTTTTGATGGTAAGAGTCTGAGCACATGATCCCATAGATAAGTGTGTTTCATACAGCTGCTGTGTTCTAAAGGTTCAAAGATTTGTATTGCTGAAAAGTAAATTATCCAATGTCTAGCAAACGGTAAAAGAAAACTCACAAAAAGAAACAAGACGAGGGTTAATTGCTACAGCTATATATACTAAAGACATAGCCTTAAGCTACACATTTCTTAAAATTACAAAGATTTTGCTTGCTTGTCTTTAATAAACAATGGGATTTTCATGTACAAAGACACACTTTTCAGAATTAGAGGTCCAGGTCTTTTTAATGCCATCCTCTCGTTACATTTACAGCAGTTTAGATAACCGCATTGTTTAGAATCGACCCGGATTACTCTCTTCTTCAGTTTGATAAATACCAGAAAGTGAGTTGGCTCTAGGCTTTTGAGATTAACTCATTACAGAGCAAATTAAGATTTTCTCCAGCAAAGGAAGCTTACTCCAACTTAAAATCAACAAAAAGAGTACAGTTAAAAGCAAATAAAGTCAGGAAAAGACCAATTAACATAATTTACCTATTTTTCATGCACAGTTACCAAGTTCCTTCATTGTTCTTTCCAGCACACTGGATCTGGTGATCAGGGTGGTGGACAGTCCCTTATGTCAACTGGAAGTTGCCTAGAAGACTTCAGATCAGCACCATTCATTGAATGCCAGGGTCAGCGGGGAACATGTCAATTTTTTGCTAATGAATACAGTTTCTGGCTAACAACCGTGATGCCCGAATTGCAGTTTGCATCAGCCCCCCTGTCAGGAACTCTTAAAGAAGGACAAGAGCAGAGGAAAAAAATCAGTAGGTGCCAGGTATGCCTGAAGCACGGCTAACACGTGGAACAAAAAGGAACAGCTAGAATGAGACTTACATAAGGATGAACAACATGCTAAAGGTTTAAGCAGTATTTAATATTGAATATATTTGAAAGTGTGCAGCACTGTTCTTTTTGTTTGGATGGATATATAAGACTGAATGATGAAGGATCTGTTGAGCCTCATCCACCCATGTACACACATCTACAGGTAGTAAAATCTAGTGTAAACAACTTGTATAAAAAAAACATGAAACTGTCACGCTGGAGTCCACTGCCATAATACACAGGTAACAAGGTGAGCTTGGAGGGCTGACTCAAGTTGCGAATACCAAGGAAACCATACCTGTTGTGCAAGACAATGGATTTCCTGTTAGAAATTACATTTACAGCCAGGAAAAGTACGTGCATTTATATGGCGTATTATAAACAAACATACAAATTTCTTCAAGCCCTACAGTCAAATTTCCCAAGCTAAAGAAACTTGCACATACTGTTTCTGAGGGAAGGGGAAAACGTAATTGTTTGGGTTTTTTTTAAACATAATAAAAACAATGAAGATGAAAGTCTTTCACCATTGCAATACTGAACCAAACTGTGAAAGAACTGTTAATTGGGCTTTCATAAGCAACAAGAAGTTGCAAATCTGTTTAACAGCAGACTACATAAAAGAATAAAATAAGCTGAGATAACGAATCCTTAAAAAGCTATATTTACATTCATAATTAATTTCTAAGAGCAGTTAATTAAATTATTAAGCTCCAATCCCAGTAGCTGAAGAAACAAAGCACCTTCTAATATTAATGGAAAAGAAATAGTAGCACGGTGATAAAATGGGTGAACTTACCCAGTGATGAATATAAGCAGCATTAGGACAACTGTCTAAACTTGAAGCTAATAAATTTTGTTCATTCTTTGTTTCTTTTTTTGTAAATACACCACCAAAAAAGAACGATCACCTTTAGGATCCTTATGGAATCATAACTCTAGATATGCTTTTTATTTTTTAAAGCATTGTTAAAATGTTTATAAGCTAAAGCACTAATCACCTTTTCAAAAAGTTAAAACATTTATACCTCCTTCATTCAGCTATAAAACCAGACCTAGTAAATGCATATTTGAATCATGGTGAAACTACTGAAAACACAGATTGCAAATGGAGAATTCATCATGTGCAGAAGGGCCACAAATGCTCCTTTTACCACTCAAATAAGCTACGTTTTACTAGAATGGAATAAAATGTTTTTTCCAGCACTTTTCATTTCAATTTTTGTTCATTGAGAGGTGCCCCCAGCAAAAGGATTTTCACGGAAACTGAGATCCAAATCCAAGAGCCCTAATTCAGAGCAAACTCCCTCTGAAGCCATCATGAGTACAACAGGCTGATCAGCCAATTTAAAAGTTGGATACACAAACTCAAAGAGCAGGGAAGACAGACATTCCAGTTTCAGCCAGAGGAAAACAAAATAGTCAGAGGGTAAATCCATTCAAGTGTAAAATACATCAGACTGCGCAACTTCCTTCTGACAAAACCAGCCAAACCTTTCCAATTTGCTGTGCTTACATGGTGGTCAACTAACTCTCATGCTCTTTCACCTGGGAAAGGGTCAAGAGCCCTCTTGGAGCACATCCGAGTCCCCACCTGTCTCAGGGAACATTTCCCTTCTGGTCCTAGTGGCCCACTGGGACAGGGCACACCTCTCAGTTCACTCCTCAGTGCTCCCAGCTGCATGCTTCAGATCCAGCATGCCACACAGGCTTTTCGGGACGGACTAATACCTACTGTTGAACTGTATGAAAGAATTTCATCCTTTCCTGCTTCAGACAGCATCCCACATGCAGGCAAGACTAGCCTTCCGGTTTGAAGTAAAAACCAACATCTCAACTCTGCAAGGTGCCAAGCAGCTTCGGAGCTTACTCCTGTGAGAAGAAAGCAGCATGCAGAGAGGAGCACGACACCCTACTCACCTATTCAAGGTGAGCAAACTGTATTTCCAAGAAGGCCACAGCTAAAACCCCCAATGGGCTGGTAACTTGGGCTTATGTTCACAGTAGCAGACAAATTCCTCACCTCCTCAGGTGATGTCCCCGTTTTCTGAGTGGATTTAGGCAATTCCACATTACGGTCTCGTTTATGAGCTTTTCCTGACAGTACTCATCAGCTCCTCCCTGACTGACGTGCAGCTTCTTTCCAGGCTAAAAACCCTCCGGAGAAAGGCAGTCGCTTTGCTGGAAATATTTACAGTGGGGCTTTTGGTACTAGCTGCACTTAGGTGAACAATAAAGAAAACCTGATACACTGTGTTACTGCAAACCTTGCCATAATGACAAGTTGAAGACAAGTGGAATTGGATCTGTTTTCACCTAACTTGAACAAGTACACAGAAAAGTCTGAAAAACATCTGAGAGAATCAACAAAAAAAGACTCAATCTAAATAAGCCATTTCATGGCATTTTAACATCTTGCTGTTTTGTTTGATTTTTAAAACATCATGTAAACCAGTCATGTTTTTCTGTTACTTTGATGCAGAGCTTTTGCACCTGTGCCAGTTACATTTTACTATGTTCTATAAGAACATATTATATCAGAGATGTATGTATTTTTAAGCTACCACTGACAGGTTAAATATTTAATAGGTGTGTAAATTCCCATTTCATGCTTAGCTGACTCCGTAAGGCATTTGTCAGAAATATTGTACTAATTCAAAATGAAATTGCAGATAAATTGCTTAATATCACAAAGCAAGTAAGACAGATCAAAGTATAAAGCAGCCTATGCTTTAATTCTGCAATCATTTGTCCAGTGACTATAAGCAGAAAAATAATTGGTAAGTTATTTATAGGGGACCTAATGATGAAATTATGTGTGAAAAGGAGTAGCTGAAACTGTTAATGAGTAAAAACACTCCTAAAGGCAATAGTCTTGTGCTAGCCCTTATAGTCTGAATTACCCTTCCTATTCCATTCAAGAGTTTTGGATCTTGTCTAGACCCAGTAAGGAAGTGAATTTTATTGTAAACCACAGGCAGTATGATTAATAACAACACAGAAAATTGTGCTGGCTACACTCAGAGGTCATCAGAATTAGAGCCATTTAGGGTGAACTGCCCTGGAATTAAAATTCAGAACCCGTGATTTACAATGAGAAGACTTGCTCGCCCATCACCCTAGCAAACGGTGGCATCTGTAGAGCTAGGAAGCAGGGAAGATGCCTGCCTCTAACCCATGGCAAATCCTCAGGGCCGTCACCAGATTCTTCCCTCTCTTTCGCACCCCTGTGCATCAGGATTTCTGGAAGATAACTAGTGGAAGGAAAACATGCATAGCCTGAGTCCTGATCTGCTGTTAAGAAATGTGGCTGGGTTTGCTTCATTTGCTGTTTTTCATAAGACAAGGAAAGAGACGCACAGGCCTAATACTGAAAATGTCTTTTGAACTGCATTTCCTATTTGCTGCATACAGAGCATGTCGAAAGGGTGAGACTAAAGCAAAACCAAAAACGGGTATCACTCATTTTACCATGATGGTGCTGTATTTTAAAAAATGCCATTTTTAAAGCATACTTTAAATTTGTGTACAGTAGGATTTCTGGATTTGAAGTCCACAATTCACATGCTAAAAACATGTATTGGAATGAGGTAACAGAACAGATGCTTAAACTGCAGAGAAGGTGTTTAGCTGAGGCCTGTGAGCAACTTCCTGCAGAGAGGCGTACCTGCCATGGGCCAGACCTCCTGCTCCACATCCCCTGCTCGTCATGTGCCATCATATCTGCAACATCACGTGCCCGGGAGCTGTTGGAACTCCTGTGGTGAGCCGGCAGCCAAGCACCTACCCGGCTGCTTCCCCTGCCCCAAGCAGGACAGGAGAGAAAACAGGAGGAAAAAGAGCAAGAAAAATTGTGGGGTGAAATATAGATAGGCAAATCACTTACCAACTACAGTTGTGGACTAAACAGACTCAAGGCAGGGAATTTAACTTAATTTATTGCCAATTAGCATAAATACTTAAGTACCAATTCAGGTTTTGGGAAACAAGTTGGCAAACCTTAAAACACCTTTTCTCCCACTTTCCCATGCTCAACTTCAGTTCAGACTCCTCTCCACCCCCTCGTTACTGCTGCAGGTTACACTCGGTCCCTTCAGTGAGGCAAGAGGTGGTGCGAAGCTTCGGGAGGGAGGGTTCAAGGTACAAAGCGGTTTCTCTGTGCCACGCATTCCTTCTCACTCTTTTCCTGTGCTCTGAAATTGGTTCTCCATGGGCTGCAGGCCTTTTGAGGGAGTACCTGCTCCAGCATGGGAGGTTCCAGTCCCTTCAGGGGTGTGCCTGTTCTGCCACAGACCACCTCCGCCTCCTCCTGACCTCGGACTTCTCAGATCAGAAAACTGCTTCAAGACTCACTCGCAGAATTGCATTGTTATGCAGAACAAGGTTAAGCAAAACCGTTCCAGGAATTCTTCCAGAGTAAACTCTTAACCAAACAACTCTTTTGTACTGTGGCTGGTTCATAAGCACCAGAAAAACAAACAAAAGTATCAGAACAGTAATAACCCATAGAATTCTTATAGTCCATACGTTTTTTTTGCCTGTATTTAAGGCAAATTAAATAAACCTTCTCTCCATCAACCCAAGTTGTTGTTTAGTTGTTTGAAAAAGATCCCCCTTAAGTTTTAAAGCACACTGTTGAGGAAAAACAGAATTTGATTCGCATCATGCCTTCTGCTCCCAGCACAGAGCTGGAGATTGCCAGGCTACAATGACTGCGCAAGCTCTCTACCACAGCGTGCAAGACCACAACATCAACCTTCATCAATTTAAGTATTGCCATGATCCAAATTCAGGAAATAAACCATATCCACCCAGGGAACAAAGTTTCTGTTGTTCCACATGGACCACTGTAAACGACATCACTTTACACTGACATCCCAGACTGAAGCCTGGCCTTTTCAGGTCTTACAAGCAATCCGTAAATAACTTCACTGAATTCAATTATGCCATACACAGAAAAAGGCTGCAAATATGAGGACTTCTGTCCTAATGCTTCACATGTATTACACCTGTCTAGGCAAGAAAGAAAAAAAAAACAAACAAAAAATACAACAACATTCAAGACCATGGGGAAGATTTATAATGGGGAACAGTTGTTTGCAAGACAAAGGATTGCTCCAAAGCCAGCTGTGAAGAGGAGCATTCAGGCAAGGACAGAGCTGATCTGCCTCCACTCCAAAATGATAAAAACATTTTGGACGACAACTGTGGTAAAAACTTTCCAGCAGGTGAAGCAATTGCTTCATCAAAATGGGGATCTATTTCATGACTGGATCCTATTTCAGAAATCAGCATTTTAAACCAACCACACAACAAAAACAGCCATTGAAATTCTGCCCATCTTAACCAGCTGGAAAACTAGCTGGCTGGAGGAAAAAAAATCACCATCAGCTATCAAACAGAGACTGCTCCCTATTCTTACTTAACAGCTTTCCCCTTTTCTAGGCACTTAATCCAGATGTTCCGGAAGGTACTGGAAGTTCAGAGGCAATATAGTAAAAAAACAACTCCACATTTATCACTCTAGAATGACTGTCTTAAGCATGTTCCTCAATATAATGCGGACAGCCCTCAGCATCCAACACCACCTCATGGCAAATCTCACCTTCTGCTTGACCACACAGTGCTCAACTGCTTTTCTGAAGATGACAGGCTTGAGCTTCATGGTGTTTGCAACTCCACATATTTTAATGTTTCCCACAGATGCAGTGAAGCAGAAATGCAAAATGCAGAGACAAAATTCTAACCAATTTCTAAACAGACATATGTAGTGAGGTACCATGCTAAAGAACCACCACTGTGTATTATTCCCAAGTGGTTTATAGAAAGATTTGGAAGGACGCACTCAGGCCCCAAACCAACATCATGTTCAGCTTGGTAAAACAAAGTTTCAGTACACAGAAAAGTAAGGTCTTTTTCAGAATTTACAGTCTTCCACACATTGATTACAAATACCATTCCTATTGTAGACAGATGCTCCTTCTTACTCAGTTTAGCATGATGAAGACAGAGGTGTTTTCATTAGGGTGGAGATTAAACTTTCTCAGAGGCAGAAAACAATTAATTCTGATGGGAATTGAAGAAATCTATATTAGAAATGGTTACTCTGAGGCAGTTGCAACCGTAGTCTGTTAGATTTTGCATACTATATTTTAAAAACGCTAAAGCCAATTAGTGTTTCCAAATGTTTTCATTTTGTTTTGCTTAAACATTTAAGATGCATGTAAAAAGTGAAATACATGCAGTAAGTGGTACTAATGTTACAGAACTTTTGGTCATACATAGATAGGTTGTACCTTTGTATATATAACATATGCTTCCTGATGATGATGTGCAGAAACTGAGGTTTTAAGCATCCTGCTTAAAAGAGCATTTTATCACTACAATGCCTTCCAAATTAAATGCATCTCTGATCATTTATCCTCTGTCCTACTCATTTCACTTACATCATCCAATTCAAAAATACATTTTTGTAAGCTAACTGCTCATTCCAGATTTGAGGTCTGTAGATACGTGTCACAGTGAAACAGGAATGAAAAATGGGTTTTTAATACAATCGGAAGCCTCAGCTCTAAACAGCAGCAAAACAATGATCTGTATTCCTCCAGCAGACCCACTGCAATACACACGCCCCTGTAACATCCCTGGCCCTCGTACAGGAAGACGTATGGGTTTACAAAAGCATATACTTGAGTGCCATTTTGAACAGTGAAGCTTTCCAGAATCAAGGCCACACTGACCTAAGCTCTTTTTTTTTTTCCCCAAAATGCTGGACAAAATGAAAGTGGGAGGTTTGAGCCTTGCACACCAGATATTTTAAAGCTTTTGATAAAAGTTGCTGAATTACATTTTGAACCAATGTAAATGAAAAATCTTAC